TATTCCGACAACAGCACAGACACACGGACAGACGGGCAGACGGAGGCTCAGGGCGTAAGCGGCCCGAGGCTCGGAAGCTGGCAGCGATGTGCGTGAGGTCTGGGTCCCGGTTCAGCGTTGCCTGGCCACACAAGTCAGGTGGGATGCACGTTCGGACAAATTCGCGGAGCAACGTGCTTTCCCGTGGGCCCTGAGAAAGGATGTGATCGGGTCCGGGGTCCGTCTTTCCAGACTCTAACTGCCTGACACAGAAGATGGGCCTCGCGTGCTCTGTACGTTGGTTAAAGCGTCTGGATGATGCTCGTCACAACTTGAGCTCCCGGATGGGCCATGGGTGATGTCATATCCGGTCCTGCGAGAGCCAGGTCAGGTCAGCTGTCCTGTCTCTGTCCACACTGTCTCTGTCCACGTCTTTAGGCACCCGGATGCAGATGCCAGTGAGGGGCCCCAGGCAAGGACAGTCAAGACCCCGGCCACACTCCCTGGGTGGAGAGAATCTGCCTGCCTGCTTTCAGTCAAGCCTTTGCGCCCTCAACAGAGACACGTGTGACCAGCAAGTTGCCTGTCGACTGCGCCCCACGGTTTATGCGTGTGCTGCACAGTGGCTTTGATGATTGCATGCTGAAATGCGAAACAAGCACGCACGCACACACATCCCTGGGCTGTAACTGCTCTAACGACCTGATCCTAGACATGAGGTCATGCACCAGCAACGATAATTTTTCAGATGTTGACAAAAATGCAACCAACCTTTCCGTCCTCTGAAAGGCAAGTTTTCGAGTAATTGATCAAGAGCTGTGTTGGTGTCCTCCCCCCTCCCCCCTGTCTCCCACCTTCTCACACACACTTTTACACAAGGAAGGACCAACAACGTCTCTAATGGTGACCCAGGGCAGCTGGAAGTCTGAGGCTGTAAAACAGGGCTGTCTTGTTCCCTGTCTGGACAGCACCCGGGACGCCGTCTCGTCCGACGCTCCCGCGGGCCTGGCATGTGCTACCTTCACTTTCTTAGGGGGTGACTTGGTATTCCAAAACTTTTTTTTTAACGTTTGCTTATTTTTGAGACAGAGCGCGAGCACAGGACGGGCAGGGAGAGAGGGAGACACAGAATCCGAAGCGGGCTCCAGGCTCTGAGCCGTCAGCACGGAGCCCGACGCGGGGCTCGACCTCACCAATCGCGAGATCACGGCCTGAGCCGAAGTCGGACGCTTAACCGACTGAGCCCCCCAGGCGCCCCTGGATGTCTTCGTATTTCAAAAGACAACATGAGCGGCACAATTCCTGGTTCAAATCCCAGCTGCGAGCTGCGTGACAGCACAGGTTATTTAAATCTCTGGGTCAAAATTTTCTCAAGTGGGAGGACAAAGTATGGCTCAGAGGCCTGTGGTGGAAAGTTTATTGGAAGCATCAAGCAGAAAAATACACAAATGGCTTTACCACTAAAGAAAAGGGCCCGGAAGGTAAACGACCCAAAGCCTGCTGCTGAGGAGCGTTGGAAACCCACAGGCACACCTGTGACCGGCAGGTGACCGCGTAGATCCCCTCCCCCGGTTTTTTAACGTGGGAACTCCAGGCCTCACTTCCCTGGCCCCTTGGGGCAGGCCTCTCGCCTGGCTGGGCTCTGAGGGCCGGATTCACACACACACACACACACACACACACACACACACACCCAGGTCACAGCGGGTCATCAGGGAAGAGCAGGAACCATACAGCCAAGTGTGTCAGCTACACAGAGTCACCTGGTTTCCCGGCAGGTGAAGACGCACGCACGCAAAGACAGTGACCTCTTGGTTTGAAATCCACGGACGCGGAGACTTCTCTTAGTCAGCTGTCTCACTCTTTTCTCTCTGCTATTGCCAAGAAATTATTCATTTTACCTATAAACCTTCCCTGTAAAATTGAACTCGCTTCCTTGTTCTGAAACCTGCAGGTGCACCTGGGTGGCTCCGCCAGTGAAGCATCAGGTCGTGATCTCGCGGTTCCTGGGATTGAGCCCCACGTCGGGCTCTGTCCTGATAGCACAGAGCCTGCTTGGCATTCTCTCTCTCTCTCTCTCTCTGCCCCTTCCCCTGCTTTCTCTCTCTCTCTAACATAAATAAACTCCTATAAAATAATAAAACATACGGAGAAAATCTGGGCATAATGCATCTAAAATATTCACAACTAAAAAACGTCAAGCCAGCTCTACTGGAGTGACACCAGGATTTACCACGAGACTAGCGGTGACCCCTCCCTCTCGTCACCAAAGACGCACAGCACACTTAGGTGCCAGCCGTGCTGGGCACGAGGGATCCACAACTGTGTAAGACACGGTCCCTATTATCAAGCGGTGCCCAGTTCGGAAGGGGGGCGGCCTTGTACGCAAATAATCACTAGACAGATGTGCGAATGAAATAACAGCTCAAGTATTTCTTCGGCATCTGTTTTGTTCTGGACACGCAGATCCACACACGCAATCAGCAGAGGAATGTCTTAGGAGCGCTGGTAAGACGTAGGAAGGACCGGAAAACAGAGGGAACACTTTGTAAAGGGGAGGCTGTTTTGCGGGAGAGGCAGAGGCGGCGGGACAGAGACGTGGCGCCAGCGCCCGGGGGGTCTGGGACGTGTGACTGGGACGGAGGCCGTCAGCGAGGAGGTGGGGGAGGGGGGCGGACGAAGGACCCGTTTGCCGAACTCGACCCCGGAGACCGGCCACCGCAGGGTTCACAAGGGCACCATACGGACGGCCTTCATTTGAGAACGCCCTGTCTGGCCGTGCAGAGTGCGGACAAGAAGCGGGTGCACCCGGGCTGGGACCCGAGTCTTCCTGGTGAGAGAGGATGAGGGATAGAACTAGGACGGCAGCAGGGGGACGGTGTAAGTGCCCGGAGGACGGAGGTGCCAAGGAGGCAGAACTTACACGATCGTCACGAAGAGGGACGACCCGAGGTTTCCGGGCTGGGCGGCTCGGTGAATGGCGTGGCGGGGGGGTGGGGGGGTGCAGCTGCCCCGGGCAGACACAAGGTGAACTGCGGAGTGCACGGCACCAAGGCGGGTGCAGGTGTAGGGGACCGAACGTGGGAGCATGGCGCTGCGTGGAGCTCTGGAGGCAGCTCCCGCGGGTGTATCAAAACGGACGCGGGGTGGCTCCCTCGTCTGGAGCCCACCTTTCCTCTGGGGTTGCGCCCTCCGTGACATCGCAGAGACACGAGAGGTAGAAGAAAGAGAAACGTCAGGGGCGTTTTCCCTGAGAAACGACGCCTCTGTTTTAATGGTCGGGCCCGGGCTCCAGCTCGGCCCCGGAGAAAGCCCAGCGATCGCGCTCTCTGATCAGCTGGTACGCACTTGTGCACAGGTGAAATGATGAAGGATCCCTGGGTTTCCTTAAATGGGTAAACGGGTGGGTGGCCGTTTTCTCCACAAAGTCTGTCCCCTCCTAGGTGTCACGACAGCATTCCCCGAAATCCTGCTCTGCTCACCTCCCCAATATGTAACGTGTACATGAGTGTCAAACACACCAAGGGGGAATCCGGGCACAGACGCTTAGCGGTCCGGGCACCCAACACGGAAATCCCAGGTCAGAGGACCCTGTGGGAACAGGGAATAGCAGTCACCCAAAAGCTATGGGAAAGTAGCACCGAAAGACCGAAACAAAGTGGGCTGATCTGTGACAATGTCCCTCATCCGACGGAAATGACGGAGAAGGAGCAGCAGACGTCTGCTCTGAAGAAGGCATCGGAGACACACACACAAGGCAAAGATGACTCACCAAGAGGCGTGACAGTCGCGGGGGGATTTACAGGGTGTACGAGCACGAAAGCCAGGCTTCCATAAAACAAATGCACACTCGTATTTTATAAAACATCCAGATCCAAGCCTATCCGGGCACGTGGGATGGAGTCATTCCCAGTGGTGAAGCGTAGGCAGAAAGCTTTATTAACACGCCCAGATGACAGTAAGATCTGTCACATGACCCTCTGCCACGGTGGCCGTTTCCTACCCAAAGACCTGTGCAAAAAATGGGTCAAAGATACCGATAACTTTTTGGCCAAGGAAGAGCAGAATCAGACGCGCCACGCCAAGGTGTCTACCGTGGTGAGGTGTCGTGGCAGACAGGGAGAGAGGGACCGAGTCGCAGGGATTGTCTAGGTCACCTGGCCTGACCAGGTGGCGTGGGAAACCTCAGTCATACCTAATCGGGGGCTTCCTTGTGAACGAGGAGCTTTAAAACGTTTTGAAGCGGGGCGCCTGGGTGGCGCAGTCGGTTAAGCGTCCGACTTCAGCCAGGTCACGATCTCGCGGTCCGTGAGTTCGAGCCCCGCGTCGGGCTCTGGGCTGACGGCTCGGAGCCTGGAGCCTGTTTCCGATTCTGAGTCTCCCTCTCTCTCTGCCCCTCCCCCGTTCATGCTCTGTCTCTCTCTGTCCCAAAAATAAATAAAAACATTGAAAAAAAATTAAAAAAAAAAAATTAAACGTTTTGAAGCAATGGGGCACCTGGGGGGCTCAGTCAGTTGAGCGTCCGACTTCATAATCTCACGGTTCGTGCGTTCAAGCCCCGCGTCGGGCTCTGTGCTGATGGCTCAGAGCCTGGCACCTGCTTTCGATTCTGTGTCTCCCTCTCTCTCTGCCCCACCCTCGCTCAGGCTCTGCCTCTCTGTGTCTCAAAACTAAACGTTAAAGAACATTTTTAAGTGTTTTGAAGCGATTAAAAGATCAAAAGTAAAAACTCATATGAATATATGCATCGGAAGTAGAAAGTCACGTGACAAAAAGTCTACCTCCAACGTCCACTCTCAATGAAACTGTTATCAGAAGCCCTGAGGCAAAGCTGGGGAAGGAGGTGAAGCCCAGGGTGTGAAGGGAGTTTTACGGTCCGTGGGAATCCCGCTCACGGTTGGATACAGGCGTGTGATGTGATCGGGTTTGCATTTAGGAATAATCACCCCGATGAGGTTTCCCTGTCTCTACCCAAAGGCCAGCACCTCAGTCTGTGAGAAAACAAAAGACGCAGCCCCACAGTCTTTATCAGCATTTTTTAGTGACATTCTGGAAGTATCAGGCAGTGCAGTCAGATGAGGAAGATAAAGGCATCACACGTGGGAAGGGAAGCTCAAATCACCATTATTTGTAACTGACTACCTGGGACGCTTGAAAAAATAATCTGAACAACAAATGTAAACGACACAAGAGTCAGCAAGGTAGCGGAGCACAAAATCAGCATGCAAAAACCCTTCGTCCCTCTCCGTCTTTCTCTTCTTCCTTTTCTCATTCCTGAATAATTCAGTCCTCAGGCCGTTAGACGGGGCCAGACAGGCAGCTCGGCCAAGGCCAAGGGCAGCGCTGTGCTGGACTGGATCTTCGAGGTGCAGCCAGGACGTGTGTGGCACGTGTCCCCACGGGGAAGCCAGGGCAGCCGTGAGGGGAGAAAGTTCATCAGCTAGCATGGGTGGAGATACAGCCAGCCGGGTGTCTCGCTATCAGAGAAGACCGTGGGAAAGGAAAAATCGAGAATGCGCCCTGAAACAGTGGTTTGGAACGGAAGTGTTGGTAAGAACTCCCGGTTCTGAATACAGATAAATATAGGAAAGACTACAGATGCGAACGTGTTTATACACGTGTGTATGTCTCAGTCTCTCTACATAGCGAGAGACACAGAAAGAGATCAAGACGTGAGGTGGACGTGTGTGTGCCCAAAGGCACAGAGGTGACCTGGAGGCAGGCTGCGCTAGCCAAATCTAGGGCGACATGAGCTTCAAAATAATAATGGCTGTAATGCATGATGACCTGTAAGAGACCAAGACTTCAAACTCATGTATATCAACAAGTGAATGAGTGGAAACGGAAGGAGTTTGGAAAGGAAAAGAGTATTTGCAGGATCGAAGTACCTTCCCACAATTCCTTACTGCTCAGAATGGAGGGGAGAGGGGATGTGTAACTTTGCGACGGAGAAAACTGGAACACGCTACCCTAAACAAGAGATCGAGCGGTCAAGGTGGACGTCGTCAGTTACAGGGTAAATCTAATTCCGGGGCCACCTGTCAAAACACAGTGAGAGGAACACAGCATGGTTTCTGTGATGTTCCTCCCGGCAGGGCAGAGCCTGGATCTACCTTGAGCACACATCAGAACTAACTCAAACCAAGAGACATTCTGCAAAACACCTTACTCGTTATCTTTAAAAACACCAAGGCAGGGCGCCTGGGTGGCTCAGTCCGTTGAGCGTCTGAGTTCAGCTCAGCTCATGATCTCCTGGTTTGCGAGTTCGAGCCCCACGTCGGGCTCTGTGCTGACAGCTCAGAGCCTGGAGCCTGCTTCCTATTCTGTGTCTCCCTCTCTCCCTGTCCCTCCACCACTCGTGCTCTGTCTGTCTCTCTCAAAAACTAAATAAACATAAAAAAGAAATTTTTAAACACCAAAGCGATAAAAGTCTTTCAAACAGCTCCAGACTGAAGGAGACTAAAGAGAAGACAAATGCACAGGTAGGTCTGGACCTGACCCTTTGCTATTAAGGATATTATTAGAACTGCTGGAAAACGTGAGCGGGGTCTGGAGGTTAGATGGCAATGCGAGACCAATGTTTGGTTCTAGTTTTTGATGGTTGTATCGCATTCGTGTAACAGCCAGCCCTGGTTTGTAGAAAGTGCACACTAAAATGGTCAGGGTGATGGTTCCGGTTAAAGAAAGCCTTTCTACTGTACTTCAACTTTTCTGTAAGTTTGAGATCGTGTCAAGATTTAAAAAGCAGTCTATAGGGGCACCCGGGTGACTCAGTCGGTTAAGCGTCAGACTCTTGATTTCGGCTCAGGTCATGGACTCAGAGTTCCTGCGATCGAGCCCCGAGTTGGGCTCTGTGCTGATAGCGAGGACCCTGCTTGGGATTCTCTCTCTCCATCTCCCTCTGCCCCTGCCCTGCTCTCATGCGCGCACACACACTCTTTCTCTCAAAATAAATAAATAAGCATTGAAAAAACATCCGAAGCGGTTTATAAAAATAGCATTCACCACACACAAGAAACTAGTCTAAAAAAATTAATGGGAAAAATAATTCCATTCATAAGACCATACTTAAGAATAAATTTAGAGGAAACAGGCAGGATCCATATGAAGCAAAGTGGGAAAAACTACTAACCGCCAAAAAAGCAGACATTTTAAATTATATACCTTTTGTGTCTTTCCAATTTTTACAAATTACATTTACTTTTTATTCAACAGCAAATTTTAGGGGCGCCTGGGTGTCTCAGTCGGTTAAGCGTCTGACTTTGGCTCAGGTCATGATTTCACAGTTCGTGGGTTGGAGCCCCACGGGGGGCTCTGTGCTGACAACTCGGAGCCTGGAGCCTGCTTCGGATTCTGTGTGTGTGTCTGTCTCTCTCTGCCCCTCCCCTGGCTCATGCTCGCTCTCTCGCTCTCTCTCTCTCTCTCTCCCTCCCTCAAAAATAAATAGATATTTTAAAAAATTAAAACAAAAAATTTAAAAAATTACAGCAACAAAGATAGCATGTGGACGCAAATATGGCCGGAACAAGAATTTTCAGCGGGCCCGGCTTCAGGGAGGGCTGGTCTGAAAACATCTCTTCTAAACTTTGGATGGCTTCCATGAGACGGCTCACTTAAGGGCTGGTGTTACACATTCTTATCTTCCTGTAAAGACTGAAAATTCCTTAAGGGCTGGGAAAAATGCTCCCCTGGCCACCAGTAGCCAGGGGGTTGGTACTTTGTGCACAGGAGGCATGAGACTGTGTGACAGTGAACTCGTTCCCTTTTCCCTCTCTCGATCCGAACTCACACCCAGATTGTTACTGGGGCCTCATCAGTTAAGAACCAAGTGGGGTGGAAAGGGAGTAAAACACCAGTAATGTACTGCCTCTAAGTTTTAAAAAGAGAGCTAGAAAGTCTCAATCATCAGACCCGGGTTCTGACAACCACGGCTGTTCCACACATTTCCAAAGATTATTTGGCATTAATTTCTGCAGATTGGCGTGTGTGGGCAGCCACAAAGCTTTTCTTTATTTATTTCATTATTTTACCTCTTTACCTATCAAGCCTAGACTAGCCAGATTTCGGCACTTGAGGTGGAAAAGTGAAGAACTGTATGTACCCACTGCATTTAACTTGAAACATTTTAAAGCATAAAATAACAAGTGATCCCTGAAAATGTACCCATGGCGTAAATACTGGGGGCTAAAGTCCAGCCTCCTGGGGTTTGACGGCGTGAAAACCTACGCTCTGTATCAGTGGAAGCCTAAAGGACTCTCACTCGAAAAAAATAAAGAAAAGGTAAATACTCCCCAAGCTCATATAGATTGAGAACCAGATGTGACAAGTTTTCAAGAGCACAGAAATGGTTTTAGAGAGGACAGTGTGCCTTTCGCTCTGCGGTGGACGGTGAAGCTGTTTTTGCTCCTCGGGGAATCGAGGACTCTGGCTCCCGGTGGGGACTGACACCTGCCTGGGGCGGGGGAAGGGTTCACACCGACTGCTCCGATCCGCCCTGGACCTTCTCATCTGTCTTCCTGGTTCCTTTCCTCCTCCGTCTCCCCATGCTGGGTTCCAACGCGTGGGTTCCTGTCTCAGATGTTAACGTAAAGTCATTTGCCGTCTACCTACTCTGTGCCCATCCCTGGAAGAAAAACAGGAATGATGAGTTGATCGGGCTCTTAATATATATTCTTTTCAATCTAGCTGGGGAGCCACGGCCTCACATGGAAACAACCTTCGATGCACAATCTTGGAGCCACCCTGGAAGTGGCTCGGGGCAGGGCTGCCTTGGTCAGCGATGTGACAGACCAGCGGGGGCAGAGGCCTCGTAGATGCCGCCCCGTTAACGCATTCCCAAAGCACAGGGCCCTCCGGGTCACAACCCTTTGTCCAAAGAGACTTGCTTTAATTTACTGTTTTTCACCAAGAGGCCACAACAATTCTGGAGCTGTGGGACCGCTGTCACTAAGAGAGCTGCCAAATATGGTCTAGACCAGCGATTTTGTTCCTTTTTCAACTCCTAGGAAGAAACATATTCTTTTTTTTTTTTTTAATTTTTTTTTTTCAACGTTTATTTATTTTTGGGACAGAGAGAGACAGAGCATGAACGGGGGAGGGGCAGAGAGAGAGGGAGACACAGAATCGGAAACAGGCTCCAGGCTCCGAGCCATCGGCCCAGAGCCCGACGCGGGGCTTGAACTCACGGACCGCGAGATCGTGACCTGGCTGAAGTCGGACGCTCAACCGACTGCGCCACCCAGGCGCCCCGAAACGTATTCTTACAATACACCAAATATACACACAGGCCACTAAATACTACCTGCCCATTCTGCCGGACCCTCTAGCTCTCCTTGTCCTTCCCCTCCCCTCCCTCCCCTCCCCCTCCTCCCCCTCTCCTGCCCTCCCCTTCCTTTTCCTCACTTCCCCATCCCCTTCTGCCCCCCCTCCTCCTCTCCCTTGCCCTCTCCCCATTCCATTGTTTTTACAAATCTGGTTGGGATTCACCAAAAATAGGTTTTGTGACTCCCAAGTAGGTTACTACCCACCACCTGAGAAACACTGGGTGAGGGCAGAGGACAGGCTGATGACGGGGCGGGGAGAAGACCCATCATCGCCAGGAATGCCCGCATGTGTGTGGAATGACTCGGCATTGCTTATTTGCAAACATAGCACCCCGGTTGCCCATGCAAGGTGTTTGTTCTTTGTCGCAATCCCTCCTCTTGGCTATCCGGTCAATTCCCTTCTTCGGTAACACGACAAAATTTCTTGACAAAACTTAAGCATGCTTGCCTATGTATTATCTGCCTCGTAAAGAAGTCATCGAAGCAAAGCAAGTTCTGGTATTTTCTATCACCTCCAGCACACTACTTGATTCGGCCTATTACATTTTTAATTAATTCTCAAATAACGTTATAAAGGGTTACGGCAATTTTGAAGTTGCTTTCCGTGCCGTGTATAGGCCATCACTAGTAATTCGTGCAGAGCAGCTCATCAGTGCACATTTGCAAGGTTTTGTTTCTTCGAGTTGCCCCCCCCCCGCCCCCGTGCGTACACATTTGCCAAGTGATAACTCATTACTCTCCAGCGTGTGCCTCTTCTCTAGAATCTTTCAGGCCAATGGAAGGAAGAAGCGTCTGAACACTATTGAACCGGTCCCCGAGCCACACGGGACGTGGGCGGCGCCTGGGACCCCACCGGAGCTCCAGACTCAGGAGGGGAAGCTGCCACCACTGGGGGAGATGGCCCTGGCCTCACAGAGGAGACAGAAACTCCGAGGGGATCCACGGATGCTTCCAGTTGCCACAGAGAGACACCGAGCGGAGAAAGGAGCCCTCAGAAGAGGAAGCTTCGTAAGCACTCTTGGAAGGTACTTGTCCTCTTAGCGGCAAGGTGCGGTACCCAGAAGGCAGGAATGAGGTGAACGCAGATATTAAGGCCTCCCTGTGCGTCGCTATTGTGAGTTGACAAACCACGGGCTCCTCCATGATCTCCCTGG